TTGAAAACAATATCAAGTTCGTTTAAACTGCTCAAAGAAACAAAGAATCCACGAAATGTCCAAGTTGAAATTAAAAAAAAAAAAATACCAATTATTTTTATATACTTTATAATTATACCAGTGGGCAAGGTGTGAAAAAAAGGTTATATTTTTGTTATCCTAGTGTAAAATAATTTCGAAATTTTAATTTAATTTAATTCCAAGACGACACCGTACAGTATCTAAGGACATTTCGAAATCTAATTTACTGATAACGTTCCTAAAGGATTTTAATTTATAGGCCAACAACGTAGAGTTACTTGATATATTTATATTAAAATTATACTATTGTAATACGGTGTATATTATGACTCACGTATGAGATGAGAGACGTGGCTCGACAAGCCGTGAGGAGACGACAGCAAGACTCCGAGAGCTGGAACACTACTGAAGGCGATAGCACTTTCTCTGAACTTTCTCTCTCTCCGTGGAACCTCCCCCCCACCTCAAGGAGGAGCCCCCACACACAAACCCTTTCGTTTTCGATAGCCTGTCGACCTTTCTCCGATATCACTTCTCATTTCATTTAAATATTACAGAACGTACTCTTCTATCCTGTTCTTCCTTTATTTAAATCTAATTAGGATTACAGGATACCTTTATTACCAATTAACTTGGAAACTCAAAAATTTAATACTAATTTTTGGAGCAAAACATACAAAGAAAGAAATGGTGAAATTCTAAAAATAAAAATCAGTTTTGCTTGAGAAATATGGCAATTGATTCCCGAGGCTCGAAAACCCTTATTATAGATTAAAAGCAAAATCCTTCTCCATAATTTCGGATTCGCAGACAGAATAAATTAGAGACTCGTTGTAGTTGAGCATCCACTTTTGGTTAGTTGTTTTTTTGGTAGAATAAGGTTGACTAATTAAGCCAAGCAACTGAAATAAGGGTTTAATTCATTAACAAGACATTATGTAAAAAGTGTTATAATAATATTAGTTTATTTTTTTTTTAAATGAAATCACGTTCAATATATACCTTCCTTCACTTACAGATTCTACAATTCAAACCCTCCATTCAATGTCGCCCCACCAGAAGGGGTTGGTAGTTAACATGGTACATAAATATAATATTAATTATACAAGGATCAAGAAGGATATGGATCACTGAAAATTTGGAAAGAAAAGGGACAGCCGTAGCCCGAAAAGGGAAAATCCTATCTGAACCTCCTGTCCAGTTTTTCCTGTTCATCTTGATTCCTACTTTCCTGAACCTATCCCAATACCTCTTCTTCATCTGCATTCCGAATATTTCCTTTAACGCTGAAAATTTCTATTTTACATACGTTTCACCAGAGGACCTCTTTTCCTCTGCCTAATTAAACTATTTCTTCCTAACATCTTTCTTGCCCCACCACACATTTACTTGTATCCTTACAAATCCTTAAAGTTTACGACGACAATTTTTCCTAGGTATATTTCTTTTTATCACCTTTCTAACCAAAAAGCCATCTTATCTTCTTGATTTGTTTACTCCTTTTTTCTCTGTCCATACGTTTAACAAGAGACCCGAGCCCACAAACCTGTTTATTTCTTCTCATAGAACTGTTTTCTTTAAAAATCATTTCTCATACGTGCTAGCATCTTTTGGAATTTCTTACCCAAACTGCTTCAGCAAAATTTCTTCCTTAAGTATCATTTATCCTTCATCCTTCCACCTCCAACCTCCAACGCAATCAATCTACCGAACATTTGTGAAGATAAATTTTTCGTTTTTAAGAGCTGTCACCCACATTCCACTGTTATTCTCTGGGTACTTATATATTATCTACATTGCCTATTTGTAAAAATATGTGAATATACTCACGTATATTTATCTACAATTTAATATGTTTAATTGTAAGCTATTATTTTTTATTAAGGGTTTGGTAATTCTGTTACTACTCTGTTACTTTTCTCTTTTTCTAACAATTTTATCATGACCTAAATATTCTTATTATTTAAATTTTCATTTATATTCAGAAATAATAATGTAGGAACATATCTTTGGATTTTATGATTCATTCACCTTTCATGTGAACACCCTAATTTTCACGATATTTTCTTATCACTTTCTGCGATAAATTTGGAAAAAATATATTTAATAAGCATAAGTATAAATATATTGAAAACAGAATGTGTTTATAGACATTTTTACATAACTAGTCAGATTGTGAAAACGTTTTATTTCTATTTGGAGGTTGTACAATAAGAAATTAAAAATATTTTTTAGTTTTTAACATCATTATGTACATATGTGTGAACGCGTTTTATTTATTTTATTATAGTTCGGATTTAATCTGTTATTTTATTCATCTTGCATATTTCTTTATATTTTTATTTATCTCTATACATATACATGTATTTTTTACTTTAGTTACATATATTTATCTTCCATTCTTATGTACATATTGTGTGAAAGAATACTATAGCCTTAGTACCAATGCTCTTCAGTGTGGAAGACTGCATTAATACTCAATAAAATTATTATATACTAAAAAACTTCATTAATTTTCATCTGAAAAAATTCTAGAAACTTATATTTATGTTATGGTGGCTGTCCCCCTTCCTCTCATGTTTAATTTATCCGAATTGTAATATTTCCAATTGCTCCATTCAATTCCAATTGATATTCTCAAGTACATCCATAAGCAGATAAAAAAATTAAAAATCCTACAATAGTCAAAACACACACATATATATTTTTAAATATCCAATATTATATCTGTTTGTTTCACAGTAATTATGTTGAATTTGTAAACATAACATGAACTACCCCAATTTTGTTTTGTTCCATCGCCTACCTAATCAAAATAGAAAGCGCGTATATATATATAGTAATATTATTTTAAACAACTTCAGTGTATTGATAATTGATAAAACGTGCCTAGCTGGAAATACAGATCAAATAAATGGAAATAAGAAACAGCAAAATGCAAGCCTCTCCCTTAACCTAATATCCTGACAGTCGCTAGATCAGCAATCTAATTACCTATAACAATGTTTGCACTCTCCGATATTTCTATGGCACTGCTTCTGTCTCTAATATAATTCCTGCCAGTCTTGTTCTAACTTCGGTTCGGTTAACATCTCTCTACTTCTGTTATTATTCTAAAACATTTCAATAGTGTTAGTTAATAGTTTGATAGCGTTAGTTTTTTTAATCTTCAAAAAGGATGTGTTTGATTCGCTTATTTGTTATAGAGAATAAATTTCAAGTATTTAAATAAGTTGTTATTAGTGTTTTATTGTGCTAAGATGCTACATGGATATTATTGCGTTGGATGTTTTTGATTAAAATATTTAATGAATATATATATATATATATATATATATATATATATATATATATATTATATATATATATATATATATATATATATATATATATATTCGATACATTTATTATTCATTAAAATAAACGTTTACAAAGGATACAAATTAATCATTTATTAATAGCACGATGGTAATTTTTGTTTTGATTTCAGCTTTTGTTAAATTGAAAATTACAGTTTGCTATTTTATTATTAATTTTTCTATTAAACATTTTTGGATTCACTCCAAAACTAAACAAAAAATTTCAATTTTATTTAATACCACAAATTATTAACTTTTATAAATCAAAATGTTGTAGGATTGAATAAGTTCAGATCGTCAAGTATTAGTTATAAAAACATTTTCAAAAAATCAATTAAAAATTAATTTTATTGGAATTATTTAAATTAATTTAATTATATTTTCTAACTTTTTTGTTAGCTGAAAAATATATTTGTAGCTGTCAACGTTATGTTAATAATCTGTAAATATGCTAAAAAGAAAAGAAATAATAAAATGTCAGGCATGGGGAAGGACAGAAATTAGCAGCAATTCTTCCCTTACTTGTTTCAATTACTTAGATTGTTTAAGGAAGGAGATCTCTCATTCAGCGCTTTTTTAGTCTCCTCGTCATATTCAGGGATTTGTCAGCTGTGGCCGTGTCTCTTATTAATCTGTTATGTCCGTTTAAAGTTGTATAAAATCGTTCGTAAAGGGTCGTTATATTTTGGTCAACTGTTGGAAAGTGGAAGTCAGTATGTAGGGTTTTTCTAGTCACTTACCAAAGTGCTTTTCTAACTTGGTAATAAATTATATTTAAATCAGGCAATAGTTAATTGAAACAAAATTTAAATAATGACATCGAATTAAAAAATAAGTCATATATCACTGCATTAAAGATTTAAATATTCTTTTATAATTCTCTAAACCATTATGATATTTAACTAACTATTTACATAAGGAATATTTAACATTGAAGATAGAAATACAAAGTAAAAGAACCTAGTAAAGCATACTATTTATTTAATTCTGATATTGTTTATTTTCATCTCAAATTATAAATAGATCATATAATTTCAATAAAATATTTTTATTATTATTATTAGTTTCTGTATTATTTATTTTTACTTATTGTAAATAGAGTGAGAGTGTGCTCTCTGAATACTATTATAAATGCCCTTGATTGTGACCGAATGTAATATTTCTGAATAAACAAATAATAAAAAATATTAAAAAGTCAAATTTAATTATATCTAAACCAATCATGAGATATAAAATTTATATAATGTCTAAAATAATTAGATAATAATGTCTTCTCATAAGATAAAAAGGTATTGATGCTTTAATTATTTAAAAATAATTTTTATATTCCATGGAACATTAGAATATTTTATTTAAAAATGTAATGTAGTTAATATATATAATAAAACTAATAATTTCTATTTTAATTTTGAATTATATGTTGCGTTAATATATCAATAGCTTGAATAAGTAATAACATTAATAATAGTAAAATACCTGTTAAAACTTTTGAAACTGACCATCGCTATAGACCGTATCAACTTGAATATTTGCAGTATTTTTCTGACTGTGTCTAGGCCAGAATTGGCGCTAACTCTCGGCCAATGAAATTGCAGTATTCTTCTCATCAAGCTGGCAGTTGTCACAGCTCAACAGTGCACTTCTTTGGCCGCCATATTAATTTATTTTAGATTTGGCGCCGTTCAGTGTGTACCGGTTTATTTTACTTTAAATGTGTGAGTAGTGTTATAAATGTGATATAATTCATTAGTTTCAGTTTCTTTAATATTAAATAATTGTATTATTTAATTCCGTTTCGAAATCTGCTTATTTTAAAGAACCATCGTGTTATTTAAATATGGTAGTGAACTTGAAGAAAGAAGGCCTCATTAGAACTTTCAACTGTGAGTTATGAAGTTTTACTATGTAGTATATAGTATTGTTTAAATATATTTAAGCATGTTTTTTTATTAATTTTAAAATTTATTATATGGTGTTAATTCTCAATAGCAGTTTCATATTAATTTTTATTTATAACCGTTTATTATGTAATTAATCTGTTTAAATAACTGAATACAATTATATGCCGTTTTACATTTAATAGATTGTTTTTCTAATAAAACAGACTTTCTGATTCATAATTTGCTTCAGATATTTCATAAGATTATAAAGAATAAAACTTATGAAGTATTGAAAATCGGTTATTTTTGTATTTATAAAGAAAAAATTAAAAACTTCAGAAGTAATATATTGCAATAAGTATCTTGAAAATATATATGTGCTAATATACAATTGGTCCATCTGGTAGGCGAGCGTCCAAGATCACATGTTCACAAGTGCCGAAATTAGACGAGTTTATCCGGAAGCGTCCGAACTCCAAAATTCCAATTTCTAATGATTCATTTAAGCATAATTTTCGCTTATCTTCACTTGTTCCTACTAATAAGTATAGACAAATGCGTAAACTTAATTTTTAAATCACGTTGTGGTTATAATTTCTGTCAATGTTCGAATATAAAAATAAATATAATCGTAGATTAACAAGGTAATAATTATTAAGTTGAGGTTTATTCGAGAAAATTTTGAGTTTCACCTCAAGTTGCATAAAGAAAAGATTTGATTTTCTATCCAGTCACATAAAAGTATCCGCGTTTTCATAAAAAATGATTACAATAAACTATTAAAAAGCTTTTATTTATTTTTTTCCGTCAGATGTATTGTATTAAACCTAATTATCTAAAAACACATTTTATTTATAAAAATAAATGATTTTTAAAATTTTTTTTATGTAAAGTTGTTGTGAAACTACGAATTTCCTCCTAGATCTCTGCCATATGAATTGATATGTATTTATCAGCTATTAACTTAATGTTTTTTACTAAAATTTAGCATTAAAATAAAGAAACCTACTGATTGCTTCAATTATTTTCATGAAAACATTAATACTAGGGCTAGAAACGTTAAGTTTGTCTCTTGCAAATACGTATCAATTATTATAATAGAAATATAGAAGAAGTACAATTTCATAACCATATGAGTTAAATGAAAAATGTTCGAAAAATCATTATTTTTAAATTATTTATTCTTATAGATATACTGTATTTTTGGCAATTATATTTATTAAAATACATCCTATATCATGGAAAAACAAGAAATAAAAGCTTTGCAATAATTAATAGTAGTATTTTTTGCTGAAAACACAAGTATTTTTACGTGACCGGATTGAAATTCACATCATTTCTTTACACAACTTAAGGTAAATCTCAAATTTTTTCCTGATAAAGCTTAACATAATTAACATGGACTTTAAGGAGGAAGTATTTATAAAAGTGGAGCAAATGTGGTACAATTGAAGAGCGTTAAAAAATTATTTATGATTTTTTTTAAACGGAACTTAGCTGAGTTCATCCGCTCAATAGTTCTCTTTAAATGGTTTTAGTAATGACAACCCCCGCTTTTGTTTGAAGTAAATGTTGTCTAGTTTACAGCGAACTACTTTTTTGCTTCGCAAATTAAATATTTTTTACTTTCCTACCTATACTAGGTAAGGAAAGTCCGAAAAACAAATATTCAGCCATTGGTCTATCTGTCTGTGCCAAGATTATCTTGAGAACTAGTTTATCAATTTTGTTGCTTCTTATTTCATTTTGTAGGGTTCTGTCTACTGATGCCTGTGACAGAATTGGGTGCAATAGCTGCTGCGCAATATATTAAAAACATGTTTTCTATAGATTGCCGCGCGAAAACGGCTCCAACGATTTTGTTGGACTTTCCTATAACGTTCTAATGATTATGCTTTCAATTTTCGCATATGGACAAAAATTCAGGAAAAAAAGTTATAAAGAAAAGAAAAATTGTTTGGGACCTAACTCGCTAAGTACATATTATATGGTAAAATTTATAATAAAACTTTTGAAAGGTAATTAAATTATCAACAAAACAAAAAAAAAAATCATCGGAATCGAACCAGTATTAGCGATGATATAGCTCATTCTATTTGCTACACATGTTATAATTTATTACTTTCCTACTTATACTAGGTAAGGAAAGTATTGTGATCGGGTCAAATTTCAGACTGATAGTCAAGATATTATCGGGATCTACTTTACCGATTTTGTTGCTTCTTTTTACATGGACCAAATTCTGGAGAAAATGCAGGAAAAAAAGTTATATAAAAAAGATAAATGATTTGGGGCCTAGCTCGCGAAGTATATATTCTATGGTAAAATTTGACACTGTTTAGCCTGTTTTTTTTTTTTAATTATGAAATTCTCAATAAAACTCGTTTATAAAAAAAACAAACTATTTTGCAGATATTGATGTCTGCTATTAATCTTTTAAATATTTCCCTCTACTTACGGGGCCTTCTGTATACCTCAATTATATATCTAGTCTCACACACACAACCTTATATCCCATACTGATCACCCAATAGCTATTTAGAGATGGTCCTGAGCAATTATACAGCAGCGCTAACCACCCTCCCCTTTCACTTTCAGGTGCTAGCTGGTGTTTTACTGAGCATGGCAATTAGCTGCCTGCTTTCCATTGTGGAGTTGGCTAAAGTTTACTGATAATCTCTTACAGCACTTCTGGTATAGCATTTCGATTGATATACTTTAAGAACAATTTTATTTTTTTGCAATTAATTTCGAAAAAGAACTACGTCGCACAAAGTTCGGATACAAAAAGTCCAAAGATACAAACTGTGGAAATATATTGTTATTTGATATCTGAAACAGAAACACAGTGACATATATTAGCAACTCAATATTAGGAGAATACATCAGTTTTCTTTCGTTATCAAGGTGCATATGTCCATAAAAAAATAATCCATAATTTTGGTGTGAAAATTTATTTAGTTGCGTATTGCACTTTATGTGTGGGGAGTGAATGAGACTGAGGCGTCAGGCTCGGATGTGTAACGCTCATTCGGGTAAAGTCGGCTCTAGTCGACTAATTAAAGTATTTCGCATATGTATTAAAATATCTCAGAAACTAAAAATTGAACTTGTAGGCGTGAGAAATATTCAGTATCTCATTCTTTTTATAATGACCTTTTATTAAAAATTGTATCTTTACGCGACGCCGTGTAAGAGATGTGAAAAGAGAAAAATAATGTCGAAAACTATATGATAACGAGTTTTATTGAAGATATAGAATAAAATATCTCATAAACTAAAATGCTAAAGTAACATTGCCTTTCTAGTTACAAAGACAAATAAATAAAAAGTGATTCCAATTATTGGACTAAACTTTTTTAATCATTAGTAATATGCTAAAAAAATTAGCATTACTTCAGTAACACATTCAAAATTCAAAAACCAAAACAAAAGAGCCTTTGCAATAGAACGTATTAAAAAAACTAGAGACCATATCTTTGCTCCTAATTGTCCGATTTTAACGATTTATTTTTTTTTTTTTTTAGAAAATTCCATAAACTTTTAAAAAACCATAATGCAATATTGACAAAAAAGTGTATAGGTTTTGAGTTATTCGGAATTTAATTTTACCATTCCTCGTAACTTTTTTTCAGATTCTTTTCGTTGAAGTATGTTATATAAATAAATTTAAAGGGCGCCCAGAAAATGACTTTGACGAAGTTTCATTGAAATCGCTACATTCGTTGAGGCGCTACAGTCTATAGTAATGCAGATTTTTCGGCCGCCATTTTGAAAATAAAAGGCGGATATTAATGTCGATGAAGGAGGACCATCATCGAGTCACCTCTGATTTTATATCCAAATTTGAAAAAAATCGGACAACAAATTTTTTATTCGTTTTTCGAATTCTACGAATCCTGAAACGTAAAACCTCAAATTTTGAGAGAGGGTTAAGTTTTTGAATTTTTTGGTCGATCACAATGCTTCATTATTAAAAATAATAAACTAACTGCATACTGTAAGCGAAAGAAATGTTCAGCATTTCATCTTCTTTATAATGAGATATTATTCAAATTGGTATCTTAACGCGACGCCGTGTAAGAAAGGCGAAAAGGGAAAAATAGTTTCGAAAACCAAATGGTAACCAGTATGGTAAGATTAGTTTATACACAACTATATTAATAATTAAATGAATTGTACATGTTACTACTTTGTGAGAATAAAAAAAAAAATTATATTCATATTATTAAGCTCGCCTTGTAGATATTTTCACTTCTATTTTTTTTTAAATTAATAATACCCTATATCGCATTCGGCGAGGTACAACACCTAGCTTCCGTTAGTTATCGCCCCCACTTTTTTTGTAACGGAAAACCCGTACTGGGCATACAAGGGATTTATTCTAATGAAGAAGATTAAACTATGATTGTGGAATAAGTTTTGATACAATTATTTAGAACAAACCTTACTATTCATATTAAAATATTAAGTTCTGGCCTTTTGATTTTTATTTTGAACCCTCCTCTGCCTGAAGGCAATACGGGTATTTGCAGCAGTGGGATGTTACTGTTACATAACAACCCACTGCTGCATTTTTTGGCTATTACATTATTTTCCTGAGCTGTGCACACATTATGCTCTTTTCTTCACTTGCATCTGGTTTTCTTTTCTTCTTATTCTGGTGGCCTCCCCGGTGCAGCTTCTCTTCTTCTTCCCAGAGAGAAGTGAGTTGATAGAACAAATTCTTTCCATCCAACTATAAAACGTTTGAAGTGCATGTATTTGTCTTTGGCCATAAGTTGAGGAAGATCTTGGCCTTTTGATTTAAGAGAGTGTACCTAAAACATTAGTCATTGGCTATAGATCCAAACAAAGGTGGGTTGTAACCCCTTCAGTGGACCAGGTTCTCCCACCTTTTGCCGGTGAGAGTGTTCCTAAAGATGAAAAAAAAACAAAAACATTTTCTCAATAAGGCGACTTACTTTCATTCTCATAACGGATTTTCCTGGTGATTAAGCCCA